TCGTGGTCACTGCCGCGAGGCACTGCTATATGCAGGGATAGCCAGCGCCCAGCCCATCACCACTCCCTGGGCTGACTGGGCAGTTATGGCACCCTGGGAGCCCAGCATATGCCCAGGGCACCCCTACAGCTGCTGCCAGTCTCACGCCCAGGCAGGTGCTCTGGGCTGGAGTGAGGGCCAGGTTTTGGGTCGAGGCTTCCCCAGGTAATCCTGTGAGCTCCCTTCTAGCCTCTGACCCAGTCTGGTCTGGCTTGCATGGATGTAGGGCTTGGGATGGGAAGTTCAGGTCCTGGCTTTGCCTTTGAGTGATGTGGATGAGCAGCTCACGTGCTCAGGGCCACCCGAGACTGTCACTCTTCTCCCCTGGCTATTGGGAGGAGTCACTGAGAGCTTTGTTACCCTTGCTGCCTTGCCCAGAGCACACCCTATGCCTCCTTATCTGCTCTTCCTCCCCTCCCTGCTGCCTCCTGGGCAGGTGACAGCCCCTGGCCTCTCCCCCTGGCTAATTGCCCTCCCTCGGGCAGTGGAGGTCTGCGTCTGGACCCCCTCGGAACCTGTCATTTCCCGCCCAGAGTTCTTCAGGGCCAGCCCTCTGCCTTAGTGCAGGGTGCAGGGCTCTCACCCAGGCGCCGCACCCTCTGGGGTCTCCTGTCCAGCTCCCTTGCCCCACCTGCTGTCACTGACTCTCCTTGGGACTCACCTGCCTGCTCAGGGCCTGGTCAGCTGCCTGTTGAGTGTCAACACTTCTCTGCACATCTTAAAACGGGTTTATTTTCGCTGAAGGAACTGTGGTGGGACCCTTGACATCTGTCAGGTTTGCACACGCTGTTTTTTTTCTTAGCCCACGTGTTCTCCCTCACGTGGGGCAGCAGCAGGACAGAGAGTGAATCACAGAGTCTGCCCTGAGCAGAGGCTGCTGTCCCTGGGACTCCTAGCCATGGTCAGATCATTGTACAAAACAGTTTTCCAGAAATTAAATGTAAATCCATTTTCATAGTGAAAATGTTGAAAGTCACTTTTATGAGCAACTACCTTAATAAACAGACATTGATTCCCTTTTCAGAAGCCTGTCACACTGTGTTTCATTTCATCCTGGGGAGAACTGCAGATCTGGGGTTTCTGGCTGTCGTGCCTCACCTGCCTATGGGGCGAGTTGGAGGCCCAGCCTGGTTCAGGGAACAGGAGTGACATGAGGAGTAGCAGGGTGCATCTCCAGTTACCTGAGGGAAAATAGATATTTTAAGAGATAATAGCATAGCCTATTTTAATATCTTTTAAAGGCCATAAGCATATCCAGGAAGATAAATAAACGTGATACAATGTCCACATAGGAGGAACTTTCTTTCACTGCATTGTTTTCCTTCACAGTGGCCTTCAAGTCACAGGACACAGCGATCCGCTGCACTCTTCGGTGTTTTACACATGCAGGACTTCAGCGACAGGATCCCTGCCCTCAGTCTTCCCGTTGTTAGAGGGCGTGTATTTTTCCTCAGTCTTCCTGTTGTCAGAGGGCGTGTATCTTTCCTCAGTCTTCCCGTTGTTCAGAGGGCGTGTATCTTTCCTCAGTCTTCCCGTTGTTCAGAGGGCGTGTATCTTTCCTCAGTCTTCCCGTTGTTAGAGGGCGTGTATCTTTCCTCAGTCTTCCCGTTGTCAGAGGGCGTGTATCTTTCCTCAGTCTTCCCGTTGTTCAGAGGGCGTGTATTTTTCCTATTCCATGAAGAGGACTTTTTGTTCACAATTGGATCACGATGCAGAGGAGTCTGTTCCTTCCCCGTCGGCTTCTCTGGGTGCTGTGAGGGTGACGTGTCCCCGATGGCTCATCACCCTGACGTGCTCTTGACAAAGGAGACCACCAAGAGGAGATGGCAGCTGCACCTGTGCAGCCTCTGTCTGAGGGGGATATTTGCCTCAGTGTGATTAAAAATCAAGTTCACTATCCTGAGTAACTCACGAAAAATTTTTGAATTCAGATGATTTTTATCAGGAATAGATTTTGAACATTCTGAAATCTTTTCCCTGGCGTCATATTAGGTTTTCTTTGTTTGCTATGATGTAAAGTTTCAGACTCTTGATGTTTTTAATATCAACATAGACCGTGGGACAAGGAATGGTACCAGAAATAAGTAAAGAGACAATAATGATAAGATCAATTTATCAAGACATAACAACCCTAAATGTATATGCACTAAGTAACAGCTTCAAAATACATGAAGCGAAATGGCAGAATTGAAGAGAATGAGATGAAAACACAATTTTAATGGGAGCTTTTCGTACTTGTCTTAGCAACTGATAAACATGAGATCTATAAGGATAGAGATTTGAACATCAACCAACACAAGCGAGTGGTCTTTAGAGGATACCTCACCTAACAGTGGTGAAGCACACAGCTTTTCAGGAGCTCGTGGCCCATGTGCTAAGGTAGACCATAGCTGGCTCAGGAGCTGAGTGTCAGGATGTCAGCAAGGATGGAAGTCATACAGAGCATCCTTCCCCACCACAGTGGAGTCAAACCAAATTGAAAGTCAGTGACAAAGGAGCAAAGGCAGTTCAATGGAGAAAGGACAGTCCAACAAATGATGCTGAAACAACCAAACTTCATTTAGAAAAAAAAAGAAAAAAAATGAACCTTGACATACCCTTCACATCTAGACACACTCAAGATGAATCAGAGACCTAGATGTGAAACTATAAAACCCCTACAACATCACGTAGGAGGAAATCTAGGTGACCTTGGGTTTGGCAGTGACTCTGGGTATGACACCAAAGGCATGATCCACAAAAGAAAACATCGATAGGTTGGGCTTCACTAACATGATACGTTTTTGGCTCGCGCCTGTAATTCCAGCACTTTGAGGGGCCAAGGTGGGAGGGTCACTTGGACCCAGGAGTTGGAGACCAGCCTGGGTACCATAGTGAAACCCCATCTGTACAAAACAATCAAAAGATGAGGCGGGCATGGTGGTGCATGCCTATTGTCCCAGCTGCTTGGAACACTGAGGTGGGAGGATTGCTTGAGCCTGGGAGGTTGAGGCTGCAGTGAACTGTGATTGCGCCGCTGTACTCTAACTTGCGTGACAGAGTGAGACCCTGTCTCAATAAAATACATTAATTAAACAAAGCTGCAAAGAATGTCAAGAAAATGAAAAGTCAGAGACTGAGAGAATATATTTGAAAAACACAAAGGATCAGTATCCAAAAGAGCGCTTCAAACCCAACAATAAAACAACCTGGTTAAAAAATGGGCCAGAGACCTTAACAGACGCCGTACCAAAGAAGATACCCAGTTGTTAAATAAGCATATGAACAGATGTTCCACATCATATGTCATCAGGGGAATGCAAATTAGAACGACCAATGTACCTATTGGAGTGGCCACAACCCAGAACACTGCCACCACCAAGTGCTGGTGAGGACGTGGAGTAACAGGAACTCACCGTTGGCGGGAATGCAAAATGGTGCAGCCACTTTTTTTTTTTTTTTAATTTCGTTTTTTTCCTTCTCTTTTGATAACTTGGGTAGGCACAGCCGCTGTGGAAGACAGCTTGGTGGTTTCTGACAAAACTAAACATACTCTCACCATCTATCCAGCAATTGCACTGCTTGGTGTTTACCCAAAGGAGTGGAAGCATTATGTCCACACAAGCACCTGCACACAGAGGCTGATAGCTGTTTATTCATAGCTGCCCAAATGTGGAAGCAACCAAAATGTGCTTCTGTAGGTGAATGAGTGAGTAGACTTCGGTGCAGCCAGACCGTGGAATATTACTCAGCACTAAGAGGAAATGAGCTATCAAGCCATGAAGAGACACGGAGGACCCTTAAGTGCATATTAGTAAGTGGAAAAGGCAGTTTGAAAAGGCTGCGTACTGTGATTCCAACTAGATCACACTCTCAAAGGTAAAACTGTGGAAACAGTAAAAAGTCAGCGGTTGCGGGAGGTCAGGGCCGGGGGAGGGGTGAACAGGCAGAGTACAGAGGATTTTTAGGGCAATGAAACTGCTCTGGCCTGACACCGACGGTGGATATGGTCATCATACGTTTGTCCAAAGCCAGAGAATGTGCAGCCTCGAGAATGAGCCCCACTGTAAACTGTGGGCTTTGGGTGGTGATGATGTGTCCATGTAGGTTCATCAGCCATAACAAATGGACTCTGGGACCGAGTGTGGGTGTGCACACCTGTAGGCCCAGCTTGGGAGGCTGAGGCAGGAAGATCTCTTGAGCCCAGGAACTCGAGGCTGCAGTGAGCCGTGATCATGCCACTTGCCCTTCAGCCTGGGCAGCAGAGCGAGACCTTGTCTCAAAAAGGTACCACTTTGGTGCAGGACGTTGATAATAGGGGAGGCTGTGCATTTGTTGGGGCAGAGAGTGGGGAAATCTCTGTACCTTCCTCTCAATGTTGCTGAGAACCTAAAACTCCTCTAAAAACAAGTCTTGAAAAAGACAAAAGCACAAAGGAAACCAGAGAATATTTCAAGTTGAAGGAGAATAAAAACATGACATTAGAATTTGTGGGGTGTAAAGCTTGATGCCCGGGCTCCACAACCACGGGAAACGGACAAACTACCTGACAGCCACAATTGTCAGCAAAACGCACGAGGGAAAAAGAAACTGTCAGTAGCGTTGTGTCTATTTAATAAATTGATTTAGAAATTTAAAACCTTCCCAGAAGAAATCTAGTTCTAGATAGCTTCACAGGTGAATTCTATCCGACCCGGCGGGCGTGGTGGCTCAAGCCTGTAATCCCAGCACTTTGGGAGGCCGAGACGGGCGGATCACAAGGTCAGGAGATCGAGACCATCCTGGCTAACATGATGAAACGCCGTCTCTACTAAAAAATACAAAAAAAAAAAAAAAAAGGCGAGGTGGTGGTCCCAGCTATTCGGGAGGCTGAGGCAGGAGAATGGTGTAAACCTGGGAGGCAGAGCTTGCAGTGAGCTGAGATCCGGCCACTGCACCCCAGCCTGGGCGACAGAGCGAGACTCCGTCTCAAAAAAAAAAAAAAAAAAAAAAAAAAGGAACACCCAGAACATGGCATGGAACCCCTGCGGCTGATTTTAAAAGGCCAGTGTTCCAAAGCCAGACCAAGACATCACAAGAAAAGGAGATTCAGATCGATTTCCCCTGTGAGCATAAAAATACTTAAGATATTAATAAATTGAATCCAGTGCTATATTAAAAGGTTAATGTGTCAAGATCAGAAAACTGTCAGAGTGTTGATAGGTCCGTGGCTGGAGAGTACGTGATGTCAGAAGGCTTCCTTGGAGCGGGAAGAAGACGGCATTTAAAATATGATGGGAGGAGCCAGGGCAGGAAAAGCCATTCAGGGCCCCGTCGGGCTCAGAGTGGGGGGCGCATCTGTGACTCACCCCTGACTTCTCTCTCTGCCCTGCATCCTGGACGTGCAGGGGCATGCCCTCGTCAGTGGGCTGTGTCTGGGCCCCCATTGTCTTGATCTGAGGTGTGAGCCCTGTGGTGCAGCCAGGCAGGCTGGGTTGTGTGAGGAACGCTTGGAGTATAAGCAACCTCCATTCTCCACAAAGCCTGACTCGAGACTCTCTCCTGGAAGCAACGTTCCCCTAATGTGGCCGCCTGGGCTGAATGAAGGTGGTGTTCTCCTTGGGGGCGTCTGCACGTGAGTGCCCTTGGTGGTCCTGAGTGCCCGTCACAGGGCTGGAGGTGTGGCTGGCCCACTGGGTTGTTGGTGGTCCTAAGTGCCCATCACAGGGCTGGAGGTGTGGCCGGCCCACTGGGTTGGTGGTGGTGGGTGCCTGTCACAGGGCTGGAGGTGTGGCCGGCCCACGCGGGTTGCTGGTGGTCGGGTGCCCGATCACAGGGCTGGAGGTGTGGCCGGCCCAGTGGGTTGGTGGTGGTGGGTGCCTGTCACAGGGCTGGAGGTGTGGCCGGCCCACTGGGTTGGTGGTGGTGGGTGCCCGTCACAGGGCTGGAGGTGTGGCCGGCCCAGTGGGTTGTGTTTTCTGGACTACATCCCTTCCCACGAGGATGAGATGACCCTTCTGTTGCATCCTGGCTGCTGATAAAACAAGACCCTCGGAGCCAAGAAACAACACTGAGGTGATTTACTTCCCCAAGTAATTGGAGAAGTGGGGAGTCAGGGTGGGTTTCAAGATGGTCACACTGACCGAGGACAGCGCCTACTCTAGCAGGACCCTGTGAGCCACAGCCCTGCGTGACAGCCCGAGGGGCCGTGGCCATGGGTTGGGGCCGTCCTCAGTTAGGTGCAGGCAGGAGCAGTGCAGTCAGGAACAATTGGTGTCTTAGACATGGGCGCTCGTGGTCCGAGGGGTGGACAGGCACTGCTGGACCCTTCTCATTGGGGAGTGAGGTCAGCAGGTGGCCTCCAGCCCAGCCCTCAGGGCCACCCAGCGCCCCTCAGCATGTGGGGCCAATCGTGGGGCCCATGGTGGGGCTGCCCCAGGCTGGTCTCCCCCCAGGCTGGTCTCCTCCCCAGGGTGGTCTCCCGCTCCAGGCTGGTCTCCCCCCAGGCTGGTCTCCTCCCCCAGGCTGGTCTCCCTCCAGGCTGGTCTCCTCCCCCAGGCTGGTCTCCCCACAAGACTGGTCTCCTCCCCCAGGCTGGTCTCCCCGCAAGACTGGTCTCCCCCCAGGCTGGTCTCCCCCCAGGCTGGTCTCCCCCACAGGCTGGTCTGCTCCCCAGGCTGGTCTCCCCCCAAGGCTGGTCTCCCCCCAAGGCTGGTCTCCCCCCAAGGCTGGTCTCCCCGTAGGCTGGTCTCCTCCCCAGGCTGGTCTCCTCCCCAGACTGGTCTCTTCCAGCTGCCCTCACCAGCCCCTCCTTTCTCAAATGTGGGTGCCAAGGATGGGCCCTGATGAACACCTGCACACCAGATGCTGCCCTGGGTGCCGGGGCCCACAGGAAACTGCACTGGGATCCCTGTGTCCTGGGCAGGTCCTGTGGGAAGTGCAGCCCACGTGTTACTCAGGTGAAGGCAGCATCCCCACCCAGCCTGAGGACTCCACACAGGGTGGACGCCCGACCCTGGCTGGGCCGCTCACGGGGGAGAGGCTTGGACGCCCCTTTGGAGTGCAGTCCCACATTCCGTACCTGCCTCATGTCCTTGGCATTCTTGGGCCCCAGTCGTGGTGTGGGAGTGGCTGCCTGTGCACACCACGGGCCTCCAGCTGCACGGCCTCAACGGGGCCACGAGCCATCGCCGGGTCAGGCGGGGGTGCCGGGCACCTCATCACTAGGGCAGTGACATCACAAGGCGCAGAAGGCAGCGGTGGCTACGGAACCCCATGCCCGGGCTGTTTCTGTGGTGCCTGCGGGCTCTGGGCTCCCACCTCCATGGGGCTGCAGGAGCCGTGAGGGACGAGGAGGGACGCGCCCGCCATGGCTGAGGGCGGCGAGCTGATGAGCCGGCTTCTGAGCGAGAACGCAGACCTGAAGAAGCAGGTGCGCCTCCTGAAGGAGAATCAGATGCTGCGGCGGCTGCTCAGCCAGAGCTGCCAGGAGGGCAGTGGCCACGACCTGCTCCCACCCAGGGCCCCCGCCTACCCTGAGGCCGGCTCCCCCGGGAGTGGAGGTGAGGCACCACCTGGCTCACATGGCCCAAGGGTCCAGCCTGGTGGATGGGGGGTCGTCGGATATCTGCTCCCCGGGCGTTGAGGGGGGCGGGCAGCTCCCTGATGCGGGAGGTCACGGGCACCTTTCACACCCTCAAGTCTGAGTGAAGCAAGACCAGGTGGTGGGTTCTGCTGTTGCCCTCAGGTGAGGCCCCTCCCCTCCAGGCCCACTCCGGTGAAGTGGGAGTGGTCAGCTGCAGTCATGGAGGTGCCGCCGTAGGGGTAGAGCAGGTGGCGTGCAGGCTTGTGGGCCTCCAGGGCCCCAGGCAGCTCTTCCAGGCTGGGCCGGGCTGGCAGTTTGCTCTGCTGCGTGCGTCTCTTCTCCTCCTGGGTCAGGGGTGAGGGGGGGGTGTCAGACCAGCCACACGAGTCCCATGGGTGCTGTGTCCCATCCACTCACATCCCCGGCCAGAGCTAGCTAGGCCAGCCCCGTGGTGGGAAGGTCCCACCCCAGGGAGACCCCAGAGCGGGCCAGGGGAGCGGGTGGGGACGAGTGGGCACCTGTCCCTGGGGGGTGGGAGTGTGGGGCCATGATCCACTCACCACATAGTATTGACTCCAACCTTCTGTGGCTTTTTATTGAAAAAAATATATATAGGGTTTGATCACTTTCTGCAAAGTAGTAGGCTTTATTCTAAAAGTTTTGGGAAAACGTTCCCCGTTCCTGCATGTGATTTGGGGTGTGGCTGACAGTTGTGCCCTTGACTCTTCATTGGGATGGTGGGCAGAGGACAGAGGACCCAGCATGTCCTGGGACTCCCACGGCCAACCTCAGCTTCCCACCTGGCTGGGCCGGGAAGGGACGTGGTCAGCCTGCCTGGTCCTGGACGATGGAGCAGGCAGCCTCGCCAGTGCCTGTGAACGCTGCTGTCTGCAAGCGCGAGCCATGCCCGGGAGGCCAGCTCTGCCACTCACCGAGGGGACACTCCAGCACCTGCGCTGGGCTGGTCGCTCCCTGAGTCCTTCCCAAACGCCGGCCACCACCCTCAGATGTGCACTCTGAGCGGGCACAGCGTGCAGGAGGTGCTCTCCGCAACCAGGCCCCAGGCCCTGCTCGGAGCTCCGTGGACAAGCCTGAGAGCGAGCGTGTCTGGAAGCAAAGAGGGGAATCCATGGCAGCATCCCCACACCTTCAGTCTCCGGCAACAGGCAGGGGCTCCTCGCAGGGAGCTGGGAGGAGAGCACCTCACCAGGAGGCGCGGGGACAGTGTGGCTGGGGAACCCGGCGCCTGGGGGCCATGCTGTGCGAGGCCCCAGGTTCTGCGTCTCCCTCAGCAGCCACTGAGCCCCATGCTCACCACAGGGCGTTAGCTGGGCAGACCTGCGCTTATGGCACTGGGCCACGGGCAGGGTCCCGTTCTCAGCACTTGTGAGGCCCAGGCACTGTGGCTGCAAAAGGGCCCAATCTGTTTGGTGTGTGCAGACCACCACAGGCTGCCTGCCGGGCTGCGTTGCCGTCCTCCTCCCCAAGAAGGAATCACCCTGGGCCGGACCTCAGGGCTGGACAGGAGAGGGGCAGACCCTCGACCCTTGCCCAGGCTGTGCAGTCCCCAGAGGGATCCTTGTCAGGGGCTGAGTCAGGGCAGGGTCTCCATGACCATGGCTAGTGCCCTTGCCGTTGGGTCACCTTGGCAAACCCAGGTCTTGCTGGACACAGGTCTTTGGAGGAGCCTCAACCTGAGGCCAGCAGGCCTTCCACAGAGGGCCTTGGAGCCCCTGCCACAGGGTGTGGGGCAGGCTCAGTGTGGCCCAGGCTGGCAGTGGGGAGGGGCCAGGGCAAGGCCACCCTCAACTCTGCCACTTCAGTGGCAGCGTGTGGTGCACCGTTGATGCTCTGGGCCTCAGCATGTGCTTGGGAACGTACCTGGGCTGTGGGACGCTGCATTCGGGACCAGCCCTCAGCAGGACTGGGGTTGGGAAAACTAGCACTGAGCTCCTGCATAAAAGAAGTTTATAAACAAGGGAACCACCACCAGCAATGTTTGCATGTTGCCAAGACTTCCTCAGTGTCTGTATTCAAAACAGGATGAGTAAAAACCTGCTTTTCTTACGGATTCAACAGCAGGTGCTCATGGTAAACTTATAAACGCCATGGAGGATGCAAGGTTTAAGGGCCACGCCTCCGGCCCCCCTCCCCAAAGGCAGCCACGGTCAACGTTTTCTTGGGTTTTCTCTGGAACTTTGATGGAGATCTGTGTGTTTGTCTGTGTATATTTTTGGTCCACCTACACAGGATTGTGCTGTTCCGCAACTTGACTTTTGCCCCTTAACCATCCATTTCACTGGCATTCCCCATCAGTCCTCATCTGCAGCTCTCCCTGGTACACTTCAACACTGGGCTCCTCCTGTGGGGGCCCCAGGCAGGCAGCACTGTTCCCAGTTCTCTGTGACCACAGACGCTGCTGCCGTGGGTGGCCTGCGCAGGCACCCTGTCTCTTTGTGTAGGATATCCCAGACGGGGGTCCTCGGATCAAAGGCTGTGTGCATTTGAAATGTTGAAATAGAGACGGTCAAACACTCTCCGAAAGGCCCCTACACCCCACTAATGGAGGAGGAGGGCGCTGCGCCGGCATCGTTCCACCATCACAGGAGTGCTCATCTGTCCCCGTCGGCTGGGCAGCAAGGCCTCCAGGTCTTCTCACCCAGGTTTCTAAGTGAGTGATGCGAAGGGCCAGTGGGAGCAGCAGTCCTCTGCCTCCCCTCCCGGATGCCCCATCTCATTTCCCTCGGGATCATCCTGGTCCCTCCAGACTGCCACGATGCCACTTGCCATGTCTCCACTGGAGAGGTGTCCCCTGAGGACAGCCAGGCCCCCCCAGATTGCCCACTCGCTCCCTGGTTATTTGTGGTGGATTGTCAGATGATTTCCAACAGTGGTGAGGATTCTCTATGTGCAACTCCTGGTCACTCCTTCCCTCTGACATGATAGAAGATCATTCCTGTGTTGTTCGATGTGTTTTTTTGTTTGTTTGTTTGTTTGTTTTTTGAGACGGAGTCTCGCTGTGTTGCCCAGGCTGGAGTGCAGTGGCCGGATCTCAGCTCATTGCAAGCTCCGCCTCCCGGGTTTTTACGCCATTCTCCTGCCTCAGCCTCCGGAGTAGCTGGGACTACAGGCGCCCGCCACCTCGCCCGGCTAGTTTTTTGTATTTTTTAGTAGAGACGGGGTTTCACTGTGTCAGCCAGGATGGTCTCCATCTCCTGACCTCGTGATCCACCCGTCTCGGCCTCCCAAAGTGCTGGGATTACAGGCTTGAGCCACCGCGCCCGGCCGGTGTGTGTGTGATTTTTTTACTTTTATGGAGATGGGATCTTCTGTATTGCCCAGGCTGGTCTTGAACTCCTGGGCTTAAGGGATCCTTCTGTGTTGACTTCCTAAAATGCTGGGATTACAAGTGTGAGCCACTGTGCCTGGCCTGTTATTTTTTTTCTTTTTGAGACAGGGTCTCTGTTCCCCAGGCTGGAGTGCAGTGGCATGATCATGGCTCACTGCAGCCTTGACCTCCCTCTGGGGCTCAAGCAGTCCTCCTACCTCAGCCTACTGAGATAGCTTGGGACTACAGGTGCTTGCCACCATGAGCGGGCTAATTAAATTTTTTTTTTTTTTTGTAGAGACAGGGTCTCCCTATGTTTCCCAGGCCAGTCCCAAACTCCTGGGCTCAAGCGATCCTCCCATTTTGGCCCCTCCAAACCGTTGGGATTACAGGCATGAGCCACTGTCCAGCAGGATTTATGTTTTTAAAAATAGAATCATGGGTTCAGAAGGCAGGAGTAAATGGTTTTTTTGTTTGTTTGTTTTTTGTTTGTTTTTGAGACAGAGTCTGGCTCTGTTCACCCAGGCTGGAGTGCAGTGGTGTCATCTTGAATCACTGCAACCTCTGCCTCCCCAGTTCAAGCAATTCTCCTGCCTCACCCTCCCCAGTAGCTGGAATTAAAGGCACACACCCACCATGCCCGGCTACTTTTTTGTATTTTTAGTAGGAGACGGGTTTTTGCCATGTTGGCCAGGCTGATCTTGAACTCCTGACCTCAGGTGATCCACCCACCTCAGCCTCCCAAGTGCTGGGATTATAGGCATGAAACCACAGCGCCTGACCTGTATTTCTTTTTAAAAAACTTTTAAGTTCAGGGGTACAAGTGCAGGCTTGTTTACCATTGAACTTGTGTCATGGGGGTTTGTTGTACAGATTATTTTGTCACCCAAGTATTAAGCCTTAGTACATTTAGTTGTTATTCCTGATTCCTCTCCTCCTGCTCACCCTTCACCATCTGGTAGCCTCAGTGTCTGTTGTTCCCTCTGTGGTGGTCTATGTGTTCTTATTGTTTAGCTCACCACTTACAAGTAGAGCATGCGGCATTTGTTTTCTGTTCCTGCGTTAGTTTGCTAAGGATAATGGCCTCCAGCTCTATCCATGTTCATGCAAAGGACATGATCTCATTTTTTTTTTTTTTGGAGATGAATTCACACTTGTTTGCCCAGGCTGGAGTGCCAATGGTGCGATCTCGGCTCACTGCAAACCTACCATACTTCCCGGATTCAAGCGATTCTCCTGTCTCAGCCTCCCAAGTAGCTTGGGATTACAGGCATACACCACCAGCCCACAGCTAATTTTTGTATTTTTAGTAGAGACGAGTTTTCCCTGTTGGTACAGGCTGGTCTTAACTCCTGACCTCACGGTGATCCACCGCCTTGGCCTTCCCAAAATGTACTGGGAATTACAGGCGTGAGCCACTGCTCCCTGCTGACCTCGTTCTTTTTGTGGCTGAATAATATTCCGTGGTGCCTATGTACCCACATTTTCTTTTATCAGTCTACCACTGATGGGACACTTAGTCGATTCCATGTCTTTGCCTATTGTGGAATAGTCTGCCAGTGAACACATGCATGCATGTGTCTCTGTAACGACAGTGATTACATTCCTTTTGGGTATGTACTCTGTAACGGAAAATTGCTGGGCTGAAT